TACAGAACTCTACTCACGCCCATTGACAACCTGGAAGTTCTTTCAGAACTGATTGTTGATTTTGAAAGCCTTCAAGAAAATGGATTCAATCTCTCTGAAGACGTCAATGCTCAAGGATGGAACAGATATTTTGATCGTCTTCTAGGGCCAACGTTTCCAATTCTGGTGAAAGAATTCTAGATTCATGCTTCCTCCTCTAACCATCAAGTTACTTCGTATGTCATGGGGAAGAAGATAGTCATTACTGAAGACCTAATTTCAATACTGACATGTTACAATGGTGGTGGTGTCAGGTGTATAGACATGGCTGAAAGATGTTCTGATGTTGCTTCAATTGCAAGGGAAATTTTCACTCTGGGCCTTCCCTCCAGCAAGATTAGGGATCTGAAGGATCATCACAGAATTTGGGCTAAGATAATTCTGGGATGCATCAACCACATGAAGCTTTGTTCACACGCCTTCCTCCTCCCTCTTAGATTATCTTTTGTTTTAAAATCTGTTTATCTGTAACGTTTGTTTTACATTGCTTCTGTTCTGAACTACTTATCATTGCTTCTTATTTTTTAATATAAATTAACTTTTTAGCTCTGATTACATAGCATTTTTGATGCCTGACAAAAAGGGGGAGAAAGTAAGATATTTTCAATAACGGATTACTGAGACAGAAGTCTCAAACATTCTGAACTATTTAACCTCTATCTTCTGAAAAGCTTGAACAGGTAAAAAACTCTGATAAAAGACGCAGTTAAACTCTGATGCTCAAAGACTCAAGGAATTTAAGGGAAGTAATCAACTCAGGGGGAGTTTTTCTTCTTAATTCTAAACTTTTTATTTTTTATTTTTAATAGAAAAATCTGGGTTTTGTCATCATCAAAAAGGGGAGATTGTTAGAACATAGTTTGATTCTACAACCCTTGGTTAAAGTTTTGATGATAACAAATACAAAGAATAAATAAATACAAAGAACAAATATGCACCTTAAAAATATGTTTTATGTATGCAGAAGTTCTGATCAAAATCAGCATCAGAAGATCAGCCATATGTGTTACACGCTGAAGCAATCAGAATATACGCTGAAGATTGATGACCAGAATCTACGCTTAATAAAGTAAACTCTGACTCTAAACAAGAACATATCAAACCAAGTCATCAATATTCTGAAGCGTCATCATCAGTAAGGAAAGAAGACTCTGAAGCGTTACTGAACATTCAAGACAGAATTAATGCCAACGGCTTTCTTCAGACAAGATCTTCTCCAAAAGGAAAGTGTGTTAATAACATTAAACTTGCTTTATGGACAACGTCATTACATTGCCTATATAAACAAGTCAGCTTGCAAAAAGAAGCACGCACGTACGCACACAACAATTTGCTAAGAACACCAACCACGCATATTCAAGATCAAGCAAATTCATTCTTTATTCTAAGCTAAACCTGTGTAATTTATCACAATTGTGATAAATTGTTTTTGTTAGAAAAACAACAACACATTTTGTTTAAATCATATTGTAAAAGAGATCCTTGAGATTAACCGGATTGTGGTTGTACTCAAGAAGACTTTAACAGTTGTTAAAGTAGCTATTGTAATCTTTTGAGATTAGTGGATTAAGACCACGTTGGAGAGAGGCAAAATCACCTTGACGGGTGGACTGGAGTAGTTTGAGATCAAACGAACCAGGATAAAAATACTGTGTCATTAAACTGTTTTAGATCCAAGTTTTTCAATTCAACCCCCCTTTCTTGTGTTTTTCACATCTTCAGTAACCCTTTCCTCTTTCTCTTAAACCTAAAACAAATCACGGTGCCGTAACCATAAACAAACCCCTACCCACCATAACTCTACCCTTCCTCACCGTAACCAACCAAACCCCAACCCAACAATAAAAAAAAGAAAACGAAAAGCTAAGTTACCCTCTGTAGCGATTACGATTTTGACTTGGATCTTCCGGTCCGATCCAGTACTGATCCACTATTCCTCTTCTTGATTTGCAGGTTACAAATATGATTGAAGATGATGATGATGAGAGGTTGAAGGTGCGGCGGAGATGATAGTGATTAGTGGTGGCGTTTAACAACGGCGATTGTGATTTCAGATAATGAAACCCCAATCGTCCTTCTCTTCTTCAACCAACTCGATTTGTTCTTCGAGTTTGCCGCTTTCTTCAATTCTTGTTCTTCACGTTCTTCCCTCTGTTTTTTGTATATTCCCCTCTTCTTTGATTTATCTTCTTCATTGTAATCGACCACCTCTTTATGTTAATTCTTCGGTATTTATAGATTATTGTTTTAGGGTTTTGTTGATTTCTGTTACAAATGCCTAGATTAGGGATTGTTAGTTGTGAATTGATTGAGTACTAAATATAATTGATTAGATTTTACTGTTAATTCCGGATTTGATTTGTATATTTTTGGATTTTGATTGATTTTGTAAGATTTGTACTGTATTTGTGTTAGTACTTTTATGTATTTACTTTGCATTTTTAGATTTGAATTGTAACAGTAGATTTCTGGGCTTGGACTAAGAAAAATTTAATTATATTTTAACTTTATTATGTATTATTCTATTGTAAAAACAAGGTATGATCTAAACAGTAACTGTTGACGATACAAAAACATGCACAATTTCTCTTTCAATTGATACAATATCTGTTTTTAACATTTGGGCCTAGCGCTGATTAATTATTGGGCTTTTGCATTAAATTTTTTTGGTCCAGCAGCAATACCTTACAGCAAGGCCATTGGACTTTAATAAAATGTTAATTGGGCTTAAGCCTTCTAAAAAATGATCCAATCGGATTCTCTTCTAGACCATAATTTTTATTGAGTGAATTATAACAATTAATGATTATAACGTGTTTTTTCCCTTAATAAAGAGATACCTATATTTTTTAATAAAATAATAATAGCAAGGAGTTTAAATGTTTTTCCCAAAATAGTAATAAAACATCACAGTTGGCTAAAAATCTTAATGGGCTTATAGATTGATAATATATCCCTCTCTCCTTGCTATTTAATCCAAAATAAAATGGACCCAATGATTTCTAATGGGATTTTTAATTTGAAGTCGCACCCCCTTTTACTAACAATAACGATCCCTAAATGGGTTTTATAATTAAGCTTAATAATTATTTGAAATAATTTTTCATTTTCGAATCGCATGGGCCATTGGCCAACATGCTTCGTGAATGGGCCTACAGATATATGAGTCTTTCTAATTTAGAAAGCCCCACTCTCCTAAATTAAAATACATCCCCTGATCGACTTAAATTTAAACGGGCCATCAGATATTGCTGAACCATTCCTAATTAAAATGTCTTCTATTTTTAATCTTGAAAATAAAGGTAGGGAAAATTTAGGGTACGACAACTGCTCATATTCAATTATCTTTCAATCGAATAGCGCGAGAATACGCGAGTCTCGTGCATTCAATTGGAAGTTTATTAAATACTTGGAATACCCCAAAATTTGTCCAACAAACATAAGGTTATGCTAATATAGCATACCCTTACGAGTCTTGAGGAAGTAGGCAAAGCTGGTGATATATCGCTTACTAGGGTTTGATGATGAGGCATATGGTTTTGAGCTTGAGAGTAATCTTGTATGTCTTGGTTTACTTTTACTTATTCATCCTTTTTGGGTGATGTATAAGTCAATACTTGATGATGCATTGCTTCTTGGAGACTGAGGCCATGGGTTATGTTCACGAATCACTGCATGACGTTTTAGGCGATAAGCTAGATTTTGTTTTCTTTCTAGCATCCCTGCATGACGTCTTAGGCGATGAGCTAGATTTTGTATTTTTTCGAGCATCGCTGCATGATGTCATAGGCGATGGTCTGTGTTGCAGAATAAAGAAACACGTTGATGCATGACGTCTTAGGCAATGGTCTTTAGTACGGAACAAGGAACCACATTGTTGTACGATGTCTTAGGCAGTGGGTTAGATTTGCAAATCGCTGCATGTCGTCTTAGGCGATAGGCTAGTTTTGGTTTTCGAACATCACTGCATGTCGTCTTAGGCGATGATCTGTGTTACGGAATAAAGAAACACATTTCTGCACGACGTCTTAGGCAATGGTCTTTATTACGGAACAAGGAACCGTACTACTGCACGAGGTCTTAGGAAGTGGGTTAGGTTCGCGAATCGTTGCATGTCGTCTTAGGCGATTGGCTAAATTTGGTTTTCGAGCATCGCTGCATGAAGTCTTAGACGATGGTCTGTGTTGCGGAATAAGGAAACGCATTGCTGCATGAAGACTTAGGCAATGGTCTTTATTACAGAACAAGGAACCGCACTGCTGCATGAAGACTTAGGCAATGGGTTAGATTTTGGTTTTCGAGCATCGCTGCATGAAGTATTAGGCGATGGTCTGTGTTACGGAATAAAGAAATGCACTGTTGCATGAAGTCTTAGGCAATGGTCTTTATTACGGAGCAAGGAACTGCATTGCTGCATGACGTCTTAGGTAGTGGGTTAGGTTCGCGAATCGTTGCATGAAGTCTTAGGAGATAGGCTAAATTTGGTTTTCGAGCATCGCTGCATGAAGTCTTAGGTGATGGTTTATGTTGCAGAATAAAGAAATGCATTGCTGCATGAATTCTTAGGCAATGGTCTTTATTACGGAACAAGGAACTGCACTGCTGCACGACGTCTTAGGCAGTGGGTTAAATGAGGAGAATACATTGTTGTGTGGAGTCTTAGGCAATGTATCGAGTTTCGTACATTACTGCATGAAGACTTAGGTAATAAACTGAACACATCATTGCACGGAGACTTAGGTGATGGGCTGAACGCGTCACGGCATGGAGACTTAGGTGATGGGTTAAATCGTAGGAGGTGTTTTGTTGATTGAGCCTTAGGTAGCTAAATCGAGGGTGAGATTGTTTTTTTGTTGTATGACCCATGCGTATGCCGTCTGATATTACTATAGAACCCTGAGTAACCTAAAAGTTGGGAAAATCTACTAACAAAGACTTAATAGAAAAATAATGAAATTAAACTATGAATTTCCTAAGAAGTTGGACCTGAGAGCATGGATCACTTTTTGGGAATCACTTTCAAACACAACAAAGTTGTGATTTAAAGAAATAACTCCTTGGATAGTCTCCTTAAGAGCTAAGGCTTCCGCTTCAATAACAGAAAGGGTACCCCCATCCCAAGCGGCGCTTGTAGTAACGAAAATATCATGATCGTCACGAAGACACCAACCACGACTTGTTGTACCAAGACAATGATTAAAGCTCGCGTCTACGTTGCACTTGAGCCAACCAATATATCTGGTGAACTCTAATTCGTCGAAGCCGACTGGTTTAAGTCCGAATCATTATATCTTTGAGCCGAAAACCACTCTTGCCATTTGTGAAAGGCCAACCAACCAAATTTAGACGCTTCTTCCTTCTCATTATCCCAAACCAAATCGTTTATGTTCTTCCACAAACATTCTATCATAACCGCAACTCTGTCGGTGATTCTACGATCTTCCTTACAACATAAGTCAAGAATAAGAGATGAAGTATCTTGAAAAACAAGAAGATTAGGTGCTATAACATCAATTAGATCTGCTGCCCGCCAACAAGAATTCGTTTTCGGGCAACCAAAGAACATGTGTCAATCATCTTCATACTCATTCTCACAACACAAACAATCGAGTGGACAAGGAACATGATTTTGACAATGTCTCACCTTTGACAGTAGACAACCTCTACAAATACGCCAAAGAAGATTTTTCACTCTAAAGTTGATTATATTTATAAAAAAACATGTGTTAGTCAAAATTCAAAATTTTAGGCTTGTGTTTTCACATATTTAACTTTAGGAGAGATCTATTTTTTTAGAAAAATGATATTTCTACACCATTTTCTACACCTACACCGTATTTCACTGTTTAGCTATACGGTGAACAGTGAAATATTATAATAATAATATTTTTTTAAAATGAAAAATATGTTTTTTTAGATTGAGGGAGTACAAAAATAAAATTATGTGATTAACCAATTTTATAATTTTATTAACCAACTCTTTATCTTTAATTAACCAACTTCATAATTACTAAAAATTTAGACAGTCTATTAACCAACTTCGCAACTTCATTAACCAACTTTTTACATTTCATTAACCAACTTTGTTTTACTACTAAAAATCATTTTTAATATTTGAATATTAATTAACCAACTTCATCACTTTATTAACCAGTTTTTTATATTTTATTAACCAACTTCATTTTATCATTAAAAATCATTATTAATATATTATTCACGAATACTTATTTATCGGCATTGTTCACAGGTACTGTTTATGCACTGTTCACATACTATTCATATTACTATTTATAAAATATATTAGGCCAGGTTGTTGATTATTAGGCCTTGAAATATGGAGCATCATTGTTGAACTTGAAAAACTTTATATACTGAATCTATCTGATAAGAACTGAATCACATTTATTTGGTGTACTTTGCTGCATCAAAGAGATCATAGTTGCACAGGGACTTATCTGAAAGCTCCTTTGGGTTTCCTAGACATGAGTCACTAGACAACTAATGCAAATGCATATAAAATCTTGTATAACACTAACAAAACTGCAGCATTTTGTAGAAAACTCATTCTTACCTTGTACCATGTGAGAGACTGCTTTTTAGACAAAAATGATCCTTGTGACCATTTTACCGCGGAACTTCCAGTTGCGGTATGAAGGTTCAAAGATTCACCTTTCAGTCCAGTCTGTCCAATAACGTAAAATTTACCGACCGGCCTCAAAAGATGATAGCAAAAACACATAAAATATGCTCAACAACATACATATTCTGCATTTTCTAATGAATATATACTATAACAAACCTTGTAAGACCATTTTTGTTTAGACAAGTCTCTTTCCCCCTTATTTAGACCCTTTAACGTTACCGGGCCTAACACTCCAACATTCCATGTTTCGTAATGTAAGCCAACATTCTAGAATTAATTTGAATATAAAAAATGATTAAGAACATATATTTTTTAAAGCAAATCAAAAATGTCACATATTTCATAGACATAAGAAAACAAACAACTAACCGAGAGACCGACTGCAACACTAAGTAGAGAAATATTGTTATTGCCAGCCCATAGCTTCACACCACTGCTAAATGTTAATTTAGGATTATCCAATCCTCCGTATGCAGTTCCTACATTCATACAAGAGATGATTATGTAAAGAGAGTTTCTGTTTAGTATGATAACTATTTAACCGAAACACGCGAATACTGACGAGGTGCATTTTAAAACGTATTATCTCGGAATTTTGTGGAATGTACTAGGAAGCATGCTCACCTGAAAGTTGACCGTTAACAAAAACATGCAGAACATGGCCGACCGACATTGCTGTAAGAACAAGATATTGGCCATTCTTTAAGAAAGCTTCATTAGGACTAATGTTGACACTAAACAAGAACCAAAAATTGAAGTATCAGTAAATATTTAAGAGATTTTAACATTCCAATTACTTATAGTGTTTAAGAAAGTTTGAGAAATTGAAAGATTCTTACTCTATCATGTACCATAAATAATCTGACGAATCGCGAGTGACACCGACCTGCTCCAAAAGTGCAGCTGTTGTGATCGAACTTTCTCCACCGGAGGCGGCAGGTTGTTCATTATACGACTGCCAATTAAACGCGTTGTTTATAGGAGTCATCTTTCTATGGAACCTCGGAGCACCAACCTGAACAAAATTGATAAATATTTGCAAATGTTCACACTTAGAAAAGCCTTACACATTCAGCAATCTTGTGTTACCTTTGCAGTGTTGAAAACCTCAGTTTTGCAGTCAGGAAGAATACTGATAGACCAGGGTGGGAGGTCATACTGGCCATTTCCAAATGGAACTTTTGCCCACGACGAGGTGTCGTAATTTGCAAGGAATGCAGCACATGCACCAAAGCTTGTCTTGTAAAGATGCACCTACGATTACATTAACAAACAAACTCAAATGAATGTTCAAGACAGTAGAAATTATGCGCCTCTTATAAGAACCACCTCGGCATGGACTTTACCTCAAGGTTTTTTCCGGGCCATGACACTGTAGGATCCACGGACACCAAAGCTGACATAGGCAACGAAGATAAGTACCATAGGCAACGAAGACTTCAACGAATTCGACGCTGACGATAGAACCTTTCTACTGATCAATAGAAGTAGAAGAGTCAAATTAATGGACACATATGTTTCACATTTAAACGGATAAATTTTACACATAATATTTATCATTAACTTAAATTGATAGTTTTTGTACATAAGATTTTCCAGTAGTCCAATAGAAAAGTTGATATACTCTCTGGATTGGATTCTAGGATGCCCAATAAGAAAAATATTCGTTCAGAAATTTTACCGAACACTTGGTCGACATAGCACGAAACAACAAATTCAACACCACAACCTGCAACAACAACAACAACAACAAATAACAAAACAACAACAATGATGTAGGAGATATGAATTGAAACAGAAGTAAGAAGAAGAAAGAATCAGCGGAGGAAGGTGATGCTCACCGATAATTGATTGAACGGAAACCGGAAAGGCAAGAGTGGTGTTGCAGTGTGTATCTGTTTACGGTATGGTGTGTCGGAAGATGGCCATAGATAGAAGATCTCCATCGCGAGATGGTGAAGCATGGTCGGGCGGAGCCTGGGCAGCTGCCCTACCTAGCCGGACGCTGGCTCCGCCACTGGCTGGATGGATGCATATGTTGCTAATTTCATGATTCCACGAAATCGCCCGATCCTAGTTTTTGGCTGAATAATTCTACCGCCTTCTTTCAAGGTAAGAATTTCATGTGCCTCTCAACAAATTTCACTAAACATCTCATACCATACTTAATTCCAAAATCTCATTTGATCCTCAAATATTGACCATGTTGTGGAAAGAATCAACTAGAGATAAATCCATTGTTGCTCATGTATTCTTTCCGGCATTTATTGCTTGTCTTATTAAGACTTCAATACATAGTGTTGTTGCTGGACTTTTGTGTTGCAGAACAAGTGAATTAAGAAAATATAGTAACTGTTTACCTATGGTTTTGGTAAACAACCGCTGATCCTCCAAATGGTTACTTATTTGGTTACTCGCAGGATCGATCAGATTGATCCTATGGACATAGGTTGATTTTGAAGTTTGATTAATGTGGATAAGGCTTTAAGTAAATTGTTTAAGGTAAATTGCATAAAGGAAAGGCTTGGTAAAATAAACAAGACTTGAATGTAAAGGTTCGACAGGAATTTAAAGGGTAAAAGCATGTAAAATGCTGGAAAAGTAAATGACTTTAAATGATTAAATTGGTGTTTCACACATACATTTCTCAACAATTCGTTCGCTCACACTGGGTACTTGAATCTAAATGAGTGACTATGTATTTATTGTGAACACACGCGAGAAACTACACGTCTACTCCTATTTATACAAAAACATTCCAAGTAACCGTCGGGCAGTTACACTGCTTCGAGATCAAGCCACTTGTCACGTTCTCTATGCTCGACGCTCCAGATCCTTGCACGTTTGCACGTAGTAACTGCTGGAAACCGTTTTCCCTCCAAAGCTTTGAATTTCAAACTGCTCCACTCTGGACCATCGAACACTTTCATCAAGAGACGTCTTCGATGAAAACTCCTTCGACGTCGAAGGCAATCAGCCTTCTTCCTTGGAAGAAATCTTCTAAGTATTTTGCCATCTTTCGACGGGCACTTCGACAGGCTTAGCCAGTCGAAAGCATCTTTCAGCTTTCAATGGCTGCCACCAATCAAAACAAAGGTGTCGAATTTAGGAGCCAACAAATTGCCCCCCAAGAATGCCTTATTTCGACTCTGAAAGAAAAAGGCATTCTTTGAAAACGCCATTCGACACCTGTTTTTCCACGTTTAGTCACAAGTTAACTTGTGCACTTTTTGTTGCTTTTTACCAACTATTGGCAATCCCAAGAAACCATCATTGATTTGATCCTAGGACGTCACTGTCAGTACGGCGTGCAGAACCAAACATCACTTCATAATTTGTCATTATGACAAATTCAAAAAACGAGGACGCACGCTGCGTCTCTCTGTTTCTGCAGAAACGGCCAAAACAACAGGATGCTGCCACGCGTCCCACTAATTCCTGCAGCATTAAATGACATTTAATGCCCTCGTTATTGGGAATTTCTCCCACTACTATAAATAGTAGTGAATATCCCACTATGAGATTTTTCACGCAAACTAGCCCTCAAAACTCCCTTGCTTTCATACAAACTTGCTCTCTTTGCAGAAAAACTCTTCCTTTTCCAACTTCATCTTCATCCTCAACAATGGCTTCTGCTTCAACTGCCCCCAAGACTAACGCACCAACTGAACAACTTGCTAAGCCCAAGGTCTTTGTTACTGCTCCGGTAGTGAACGCTACAGGGAAACGAAGGGTCCCTGAACCATCTGACATCTCCGTTCGTGATGCTTACTCGCGTCACTTGATGATTCCGGTTGGATACTCCAACCAAATCTTCGCAATGGCTGGACCCATGAACCCAAGCATCTCTGAAGCTCTAAAGATCAAGAGCTATTTCCCCATCGTCGAGAAACTCAAGCCAGTAGCCTGCGCTAAAAAGGATGCAGAAGACAACGAAGACCCTACACACGAGAAGATTGACCTTCGTTTCTTCAACAGGAGTGTTAGAGTCTTCAGGTCTTGCCCTAATCTGACCTCTGACTATGTTGCTTGGCTAACAAAGTTGGAGAAACATCAAACTCCAGTCTGGAAAGAAATGGGAATCTTTGACCTAGTAATGCTGTCGAAGACAGGCTTAAACTACTCCCCAGAGATGCTTATAGCTTCGCTGTTGTTCTGGGATAACTCTCACTTCACCTTTCACCTTCCATGTGGGATGTTAACCCCCACACTCTTCGACGTAGCGGCCATCACTGGCCTTCGACCAACCGGAGATTACTTCGACCCGGAAGAGATGTCGGAGGACCAAATTGGCTTTTCTGAGACAAAGCCAACATACACTACCTTTATCAACCATTTTCATGACCGGTCGACAGACGCAGTGTCAGACGTTGAACACATAGCGTTTTTAGCCTTGTGGCTAACTCGCTTTGTGTTCTGTTCGAAGTCTCTGCAAGTGACCAAAAAGATGGTCACTCTTGCCACCCAACTGCATCACCGCCAGAACATCTGTCTGGCAGAACTGATTCTGGCCAGTCTTTATGACTCAATCAGCAATGGGGTCACTCTCTTGAAACATGTCGAAGATAGGAACAGTTTGCTACTCGCTGGGCCTTTCTGGCTACTTCAACTGTGGCTCAACGCCACTTTCGAATCCTTCTTACCCAAGAAGAGTCAGATAAATGAACAAGCCCCAGCGATAGCTAATCGACGCATCGAAGGAATTAGGCTGGCTCTACTGACACCTGTGGAAGATGGGCTAGAGTTCCAACAAACCTTCACTAACTTCGTGCTGATGTTCGCTCGAAGGAAGGAATTTGTTTCGACTATGGCTCCATTTGCTCAACGAAAGGTGGGGCCAGCATGGTTTACAAGGCCACATCCCAAGGAGTCGAGTGGTCCCAATGTCGATGAGCACTCTGTACTTTGGGAGGCGTTCCTTACCCCAAGGATTATGCCTCTTCGATTTAAGAGTTCTAAGACTCATCTGAGTCTGCTTGCCTATCAACCCAATCTGGTATCTCGCCAGTTTGGTATCATCCAAACCCTACCTTCTCCCATTTTCCAAAGAGAGAAGTCAATGTTGTACTTCTGCAACGATTATACAGAAGAAGCTGCTACCAAGCATATCGGAAGATATGCTGGTCGAACCATCCTCTCGCTGTTCAACTACCAGCTTAACTTCCTTTGTTCGCCATCTTTTGAAGAATGGTGGAGAAGCTATTACGCTGAGTACTTCTTCGACGAGAAGGACTTCATAGCAGAGTTGCAGAAGTCTTTTGTCCTTGTGTTCGACAAAGTAAAGAAATGTAAGTTCATACTCTCACATTACTTTTTATCTTTTTCTTCGACTGTTAGCTTGTTAACTTTCCTTTTCGCTTTCAGTTGTTCGAAAGCCTCTAGCCAAGAAGGCTACAGAAGGCCCACAAGGAAGAGTCCCTTCGACCAAACCTCCACCGCCGGCGAAGACTATAGCGCCGGCGAAGACAACGGGCAACCAACAGGGGGAAGGCTCTTCGAGGAGGCCTCCTGCATCGGTAACCAGATTTTCTTCATTTTCATTCTGGCTTTCGATTATTTATTTTCGACGTAATTATTCAATCGAATTCCTATTGGTTTTCCAGGCCCCTTCGCCCAAGAAAAGGGCAGCATTTGTGATCGAATCGGGGAGTGACGACGAAAGTGATTCCCCTCCTTCTCCCTTAAAGAGGCGAAAGTTAACGAAGGACGCTTATGTTCCTACTCCAGCTCCTGAAGGTCGAACCGTCAGAATAAAGGTAGCTGTGAGAAAGCCTAGGCCACCTGCAGTGGTCATCGAGGAACCAACTGAGGAGGAACTGAACGCTCTAGTTACCAAGCCTGTCGAAAGTGATAATTCCAGCCCTGGGGCTGAAGTCAATCCACAGGTAATCTATTGGACCCTTCTTATAATTTAGGCATAGATACCAGTATTTGATTATGTCTCTTTCGACATCTGAAGATTTATCTTCTTTCTCCTTTTTAGGACACTACTGGAAGTTCCCCACCAAGGACTTCAGAAACTCTGGAATCTGCTGACCTTAGCAGGCCTCAGGCGCAAGATTTGGGCAATGACGAAGCCCACACTGAGACTGAAGCCAATGCTGAAACAGTGGAGAAGACAACTGAAGAGCCTATGGCGGAGAAAACACAGCCAGAAACGGTTCCTGTGGTGGACTTGTCGTCAGAAGAGAATCCTGAAGGAAGAGACCAAGGCAATGGCGAAGAGAATCAAGATGCTGTTGACGAAGAACATCAAGGTGGTACTGGCGAAGACCACCAGGGGGACGCTAGCGAAGAGCCACAAAATGACGCTGGCGAAGGACCCCAAGGTGATGCTAACAAAGAACCACAAGTCGATGCTAGTACCGCCTCAGTTCAAGTCGAAGAGCAACCAAACGAGGCACTCAGCATTCAACAGCCTCCAGTCCAAGATAATACTATGGCAAGGGTCACCTCCTCAAAGCACAAGTCGAAAGAGGACTTGGAAATCTTGAAACAAACTGATCCTGTCGGCTACCTCAATGCTATCGTCGAGAGTAAGAGTTCTTCTGACGCTAGTCAGGAAATTCCTACTCTGTCGGGGAAATCTACTGAGACTTCTCCTCTTGATGATGCGTTGGCGAAGGTCAAGGCCCAGTTCTTCAAGAGAGATTTAATGAAGGCTTTAGAGGGCGACCCCACTGCTCCATCTTGCTTGAAAGAGGTTTTGAATGCTGTTGACTTCGAAGCTGTAGCCCCAGAAATCTCAGACTTAATCATGGAATTGCATTCTATGATCGATCAAGTCTCCGCGGATTACAGGCGCCAACGAACTTTTAACAGTCAGCTCGAAGTGTTGCATGGCAAGAGCTCATCTGCGTGGACAGCTGTCTCAGATTCGACTTCTCGAATTGCCGAGTTGTCGAAACAGAAAGCGTCTGCACAGGAAAGGTTCGATGCTATTGAG